ACATGAAGGTATAGATGTCTACACTATGATTCTTCTTTTCAAGGAGTTGTATGATGAACAATCACGTGTGGAGAGATATGAGACCTCCAAGCAACTGTACTAGTGCAAAATGGCAGAAGGATCTTCAGTCTGTGTTCATGTGTTGAAAATGATTGGCTTTATTGAGAAATTGGGCCAATTGAAATTTATCATGAATCACAAACTAAGTATTGACTTGGTTCTACAATCTCTACCTGAAAGTTATTCACAGCTCATCATGAACTTTAACATGAACAAGATAAAATGAACACTCTTTGAGTTGCTTAATATGCTTAAGACTATCAAACCTAATGTCAAGGCTAATACTAGGCATACTTGGCCAGTCAAATCCTCCAAGGGCACTAAGAGGAAGACCAAATGAAGTTTTGAGAAAATATCTAAGAAGGCTAAGAGTAATAACAAAGTGGTCAAAGCGAACAAGGACAATCCCAAGTATGATGACCCATGCTATCACTGCAGAGTGGAAGGTCATTGGAAGAGGAACTATGAGGTTTACCTCGCAAGCTTGAAGGGAAATAAGTCTTCTGAAGTTTCTATTTCAGGTATTTTTGTTATCGAGGTTGATATGTCTACTTCATTAGCTTCTTGTGTGTTAGATACCAGATGCAGATCTCATATTTGTATAAATATGCAAGGACCAAAATGAAGTAGACCACTACAGAAAAGAGAAGTTGACATGCGCATAAGGAATGGAGCAAGAGTTGCTGAATTAACTGTAGGGACATACTTCTTACCATTGCCTTCAAGCTTAGTATTAGAATTAAAAAATTGCTATTTCGTTCTCGCCGTTACTAAAAACATTATTTCTATTTCATGTTTGAACATGAATGATTTTTTAATTAATGTTAAGAAAAATCGTTATTCGTTTTATAAAGATGGAATCTTTTATGATTGTGGTGTGTTGCAAAATGGAATTTATATTCTTAATACTGAGTCATATATTATGAGTATAGAAAATAAAAGGCATAAAAGTCATGATCTAAATAATACTTATCTCTAACATTACAGGCTGGTTTATATCAACGAGAAACGCATTTCCAAATTACATAAAGATGGATACTTGGAGTCAACTGATTTTGAATCATTTGATAAATGCGAGTCGTATCTATTATGTAAGATGACCAAATTCTTTTTTACTAGAAAAGGATAAAGAGCTACAGAGCTTCTGGGTCTAATACATATTGATGTATGTGGACCCATAACAATCACCGCTAGAGATGTTTTCTCTTACTTCATCACATTCACTGATGATCATTCTAGATATGTTTATGTATATCTGATTAAGTTTAAATATGAAGCACTTGAAATGTTCAAGGAACTCAAACTATTGAAGTAGAGAAATAGAGAGGTAAAAATATTCCCACACTGAGATCAAATTGAGGTGGAGAATATTTAAAGGGAAAATTTTTATGTTATCTAAAAGAGAATGTGATTCTCTCGCAGCGGACTCTGTCACATACACCGCAACGTAATGGTGTATTTGAAGAAGGAATCACACATTATTAGATATGGTGCAATCAATGATGAGCCATGCAAACATTCCGAAATTATTTTAGGCTTATTCACTAATTACTGTGTGCTATACACTAAATCGTGTCCCATCTAAATCGATCGACAAAACTCTATACGAGTTGTGAAGAGGAAAAAGACCCAACTTATCTCATATAAAATTTTGGAGCTGTGATGCTTATGTGAAGTATAATAAATCTGATAAGCTTGAGGCTAAATCCGAAAAATGCATATTTGTGGGATATCGAAAAGAACCAATTGAATATCGATTTTATAATCTCATTGAGAAGACGATGTTTATCTCAAGGAATGCCATATTCTTAGAAAAAGAGTTTATTCTATAAGAGGGTAGCATGAACAAATTATAACTTCAAGAAGTTCATGAATCCACAGATATTGTTGACCAATTAGATGAGCTTAAGTCTGACTCCACACTTGCTGAGGGACAGGCTGTTGATTAGGATTTAGAGACTCCCGAGAACACTCCAGCTCAGCGTAAATCAAGTAGGATCATTCAACCTCCTAGAAGGTACAAATTCACGAGTACCAATCAAATATTATTAGTCGAGGATGATGAACCTACTAATTACGCAGAAGCAAAGTCAAGTGTTGACTCAAAGAGATGGTAAGAGACCATGAAATTTGAAATGAACTCAATGTATGAGAACAAGGTTTGGACCTTGGTCGAACTTGTTGGTGGGATAAAACCCATAGGTTGTAAATGGATTTACAAGAAAAATATCGATGTGGATGGGAATGTCCATACATACAAAGCAAGGCTAGTAGCAAAAGGTTATACACAAAGATAAGGTATCGACTTTGATGAAACCTTTTCACCTGTAGCCATGCTGAGTTCATTCAAATTTTGCTTGCAATTGCTGTATACCATGATTATGAAATATGGTAAATGGATGTCAAAACTGCTTTCTTTAATGGAAACTTGCAAGAGAAAGTGTACATGACACGAGCAAAAGGTTTTGAATAAAAAAACCAACAAGTTATGTAAGCTTATTCGATCCATTTATAGATTAAAGTAAGTCTCTAGTAGTTGAAATCTTCGTTTTGATGAGACAATCAAAAAGTTTGATTTTATTAAAAATAAAGATGAACCGTGTGTTTACAAGAAGATAAGTGGAAGCGTGGTTGTATTCCAAATATTATATGTCGATAACATATTATTAATGGGAAACAACATCCCAATGCTTAAATCGTTAAAATTATGGTTGTCAAAGAATTTCTCCATGAAAGATGTGGGAGAAGCAATGTATATCTGGGAATCAAGATCTATAGAGATAGATTTAAAAGATTGCTTATTTTATCTCAATCTTTGTACATTGACAAAATCTTGAGAAGATTTAACATGGAATAGTCCAAGAGAGCTTTAACATGGAATAGTCCAAGAAAGCTTTACGTCCTATGTCACATGTGATTTACCTCTTAAAAGATATGTCCTAAAACACATGATGAAAGGAATCATATGGATAAGATTCCTTATACTTCAGTGATATGATTTGTCACGTATGCGATATTATATACGAGACCAGATGTTTCATATGCTCTAAGTGTTACAAGTAGGTTTCAAGCAAACCTTGGTGAAAAATATTTTATAGCAGTTCAGAACATTTTTAAGTACTTAAGAATTAAAGATGTGTTCTTGATATATGGAGGAGATGAACTAAAGGTTCATAGGTATATTGATGCTAGCTTTCAATCTAACAAGGATGATAGCAAGTCTCAATTTGGATATATGTTTACTCTCAACAACTGAGCGATTGGTTGAAAAAGTTTCAAACATGAGACAATTGCTGATTCAACAACAGAAACCGAGTACATTGCTACTTTTGAAGCAGTGAAGGAAGTTGTCTGAATCAAAAAGTTCATTAATGAACTGGGAATTGTTCTTAACTTTGTTGATCACATGCCTTTGTATTGTGATAATAATGGAGCCATCGCACAAACAAAAAAATCAAGGTCTCATCAACGATCCAAACATGTGTTAAGCACGGTATCATCTCATCAGAGAGATTATACAAAGAAATGACATAAAGATAGAGCAAGTTTCCACAGATAATAATATTACAGATCCATTGACAAAGTCATTGTCACAACAAAAACATTATCATATGCAGGCGCTTATGGTATTAGATACACGAGCGATTGAATTTAGTGCAAGTAGGAGTTTGTAAGTATTATGTCCTAAATCCAATCGATTTTAGTTGTAAACATTTTTAATATGTTTAACACATTTATTTTTTGACAAGATCTATTATTTATTTAAATCAATATTCCGATGAATAATATTAAATAACAGAGTTCGTAAATTCAAGTTTCAGTAATTTGTTAATCACAAGGAGTTGTAATTGTGAAATACAAATTATGTACGCTTGGATCTTAAATAATTCATTGCTCGTAAATAATAATAAGATACGGATATCGTTATTACCGATAAATCACCACGTGTGACATTTCTTACTTGTGAAATAGTAGCTAATCTCACAATCTAAAGTGTGGTAACACTTAAATGAACACATGAATATTTTGTTATAGAACAAAACATTGGAGGCCCGTTAAGAGATTCCACATAAATAACTATCTGAGTGTCAGTGGTTAATCTCTAAAGTTCGGTAGTGGAATTGGTCCTTTGACTTAAGATCGTCATGGTGTCTTATATGAAGACAATCATACTTTGGCAATGTTTCGGGTATGTCAAGAACCGTATGAAGGTTGTAAATGACTAATAGAGGATTCGTCACTTTTAGATAGTAAGAGATTATGATCTTCATTTCATTCAATTATGTCGATAACGAAATCCTTGGCCAAGGTGTATTCAGAAGTCGAAAATGAGTTTTCGACTTATATTAACTTAATAATGGAATGAAAGATATGATCAATAATCGAGATTGACATACTTCCATATCTCGTAATTGATCAGATTATATTGAAAAAAGGGATTATAGTTTCATGATAAATGATCGAGTTTGGTATGGTCACACCACATGACATTTCCCGTCACATATATTGCCTTAATACATTGCTAGATGTCAATCTGGGACGACGAATGTGAATTGGTGATAAATTAAAAGTGTATTTTATTTTATCAATTTTGATTATATTAAAATAATAATTCACGTCATTTGGCATCGTGATTGGAACCTGATGGGTCGCACATAAAAGGAGAGCCAGAAGATTTTGATATTTCAATTAATTAATTGAGAAAACCCTGGTTTCTAAAATCTTATTCTCTATGTGAAATTCCATTGGAGAATGTACAATTAGACAGCTGTAGATGGCAAATCAAGGTTGTCGAAATAAAATAAAAGCAAAGGAGTTTGCAGATTTAGAAAAAGAAATAACTTCGATCACAATTTTTATCTAAACACAAACCAGATCCTTGGTGGGAATTGAAATTTATTTTATTTTCCACTTTATATGATAAGTAAATTCCCAATAGGTTGATCAAAACCCTTCTTTCGGGGTGGATGCGTATGTAGTGGACTCCTCTCATTTGAACTCCAAGGATAAATTAGAAGCTGAATTTACAAGTATGGAACGTCTAGAAGCAAACTGCAAATTTCGAAAAATATGGGGAACAGTTTGACACTTTATGAAATTCTAGACATGATCCTGTGACAGAATATCATGGACTGATTTGCAAAATCAGAATAATTCAAGGACGAGTTTGCAGAACTCAGAATCACAGATGCCCAAATTGCAGAGTCCAAAAAGTGCGGAGAACGAATTGCAAACATTCGAAAATACGGGGACCATCAATCTGTCTACGGTGCTCCACAGAAGCGTACAAAGAGTACACTGCAATGACAATTTATAAATGTTGTTGTCCATCTTGCTTTACCAGCTAACCTCATATTTGAGAGGGCCCAAAATGAGATGAACGCGGTGGCTTAACTTCTTGACCCAGAGCGGTAGCTAGAAGGGATGGAGGACCGAGGTGCCACATAAGCGTAGATGGAACGATGTACCATTAAGGAATGAATCATTAGTCATTTCTAGAAAACTGTCGAATCAAAGTGGGACCTCAATTTCGGAAATCGGTTGAATCTTCATAGCTAAGCGAGAAAGGAGCAGTCGCCCTGTGATCATCTGTATTATCGTATATGCCATACCGCCCAAGCTAATTCCTCAATAAGAGGTTCCACCCAGGGCCGGTCCTGTGATAATGGAGGCCCGAGGCGAGGTCCGTAAATTGGGCCCTCGGACGAAATCAACGTAAAAATTTACGTAAAAATCTAATAACATTTTCAATTATGTACACAAAAATTTGAGCATTACAAGTTTACGAAAACAATACAAAATTAAAATAACATCCAAAATCCAAAACTATTCCCAAAAAAAAAAAAAAAAAAAAAATTTGAAGCAAAATTGGGCCCCCTAAAGGTTTTGGGCCTGAGGCTGAGGCCTCAAATGCCTCAGCCCAGGACCGGCCCTGGTTCCACCAAGTCTCATGAGTCGGCTACTACATTTTTTAGTCTAGACCGTTAATATTTGTGACAAAATTTGAGCAAACATAGAGAGTCATGGATTGTATTCATTGCTGACATTTCTGAGCTGCATATCCTTTTAAGAAAGAAAGATATGGTTGTTGGCCTTTAAATTATTCTCAATATGAAGAAAAAGGAGAAACTAAAAGCGCATTCATGTAAAAATGTCACAAAGGTGTTATACTCATTGCAGTGTCTTATCACAAATTTACAATGCCTCATGTACGGAATGTCTCACTGACAACTTCATACGTATCTGAGCCCCAGAAACAGCAATTTACTAGGGGTTTCAAAAGGCCAAGGCTCGAGGGTTTAAGTAGGATTACTATCTGTAACTTGTTTAACTAGTAGGAAAAAGTTGGGTATAAATCATCCTTGCCAAGCTGAGCTATAAGTGGTAAGTGTAATATCACTAGAATTAGGGAGACCATATACATTTTACCGAAAACTTAATGTCAGTAGCAAAATCTCAGACTTTGTTAGAAATTTGTCGAGTAATTTTCACTCAAATGCTTGCAACCCAAATATTTAACTATGTTACTTAGAGCAATGGTGTGTAGCTTCTTTAAGTGTAGATTGTGTTTTCATTTTCGTTATTGATTAAGTATCTAATATCTAAAAAACCATGTTACTTAGCAAGAAAGAGGAAAAGATTCAATCCCAAACGATCAAAACTATATACAAATTAGTGATGAATTTTGTTGAACTAATATTAAGTTGAATATCATTTAACCCCAAATGATCAAATATTAGTTGAATATTACTTACCAGAGAAAATTGGGACCTTTGATTCAGTCCTCTAAACTCAAGAAAAAGTGAAAACTGGAAGTGATCATTGGTGATTAGTTCATCATTTCCTACCTGCTGATGGTTTTTACAATCTAAAAGTTTTGATAATCTAATCCTTAAAAACTGAAAATGTCAAATGATGTTCGCATTAATTTTACCTTAGATTTGTCTCTTCTTCATGGCCTGTTTGTTGTTATGTAACCAAACCTTGAACACCTCTCTCTTTACACCCACTTCGTTGCAGAACTTCAGCACTTCTTGTTCATCTTGTTTCTGAATCCTCCACCCGAGTTTCGCAGCCAATTCATGCATTTTATCCTTCTGCTCTTGGCTGAATTTTGTTCGAAACCGCTTTTTGGACCCGGAAAATGATGGTTGGACCATTGCATGTCCGCCGGCGCTGGAATCATTTATGTTTAGATCTTCACTAGATGAGTCAGCTGCAGCTCCACCGCTGTTTCTACCAAACGCCACCATCACTGGCGGCGTATGGGAGTATTTGTGCTGCGGCGGCATGGTGGGAGGAGATTGGCTTTGTAGAACTGGAATCCGGTGGTTATTCGTACGGCCTTGGACTTCTTTCCGGTGGAAACTCCGGTGGCAATCACAAGCAGCGCACCTCAAGAATTCTGGGGTGCCCTCCTGACCACTTGGCATGAATTCTCCACAACCATCCACGACATGACCTCCCATCTTTGCTGCATGATTTTTCAGGCATTCTCTATATCTAATTACAGTGGAAGCTCCTGATTCTTGGCCTTGTTGCAGCGGCGGCGGAGGCGATGACTTTGAATTTGATGCGCCACCAGTTACCCCAGAAGGAGAAGTGACTGGATCTAGATCTGGATCTGGAGCTGGATTTGAGTCTTTCTGTGCACGTGGTGGTAGTAGTGGTGGTGGAGGAAGAGGACGATGGTGATCTAGGGTTTGTATAGGGCTGAAAATAGCACTTCCACGGCGCGTCGAAACAGTTGCATTTCCTCTTCTATCTGGTGGAGTAGAAACTATAGGAGCAAGCGGCAGTTTGACTGGTGATTCTTGATTGAGTTGTGAAGGATTATAACCCATAAAATTTGGAATCCCCATATCCCTTTCTTGACCCCTTTTTTCCATAATTAAAATCTACTTACTAAACTCACTTTAATCAAACAAGATAATCCTCCTCTTAATCCTTCTTCCTAAACCATCTTCATCAAAATCTATGATCGTAATTTCTCTGTTGTAAACTCCCTCTCTCTCTCTCTCCACCCCCTTCTCGCAAAATATCTACCCTAATCTCAGAACAATTCTTGATAATTAATCAACAAAGTAATCTTGAATTGAGCTTTATTTTCTTTTGACTAGTACTTTTGGGTGCTAACCCCACTACCCCCATTTCGCTAATTCTTAACCTTATTCCTAATATGTTAAATCAATAAAATGTCGAAACGAATAGACGTTAAGGACGTGACTACTTAATTGGGACTTCCAGTGCCCGAGTAATTCTTATTTTTATCAATTTTAGGTGGGAAAAAAAAAATCATAATAACTTACTCGCAAGAGAGAGAGAGTACAAATTCTTCAATTTTAAGAAGTAAGATACTACTGGACAAACGACTTGACTGAAGGAATGGGGGACCCCCTTAAGCAGCAGAAATAGTAAAAATTTACCTAATTACAGTAAACTGCGACAGTAGCAGAGTCGGGTGATTTTGCAGGAAACGATGTGAAGTCATAGAAAATGCAGCTGCTTTTAGCACTGATTCATGGATAATGGGGTTTTAATTTAAAAAACATTAATCCGAGAAAGGAGAAGTTTGTGTGTCTCCCATGTCCGAACAGCCATACAAGATTCTCGTAACCATAGCAAGCAAATTTCAGTCATCCAAGAAAAGGGATGCAAATGCGTTTGGCACACAGAGTGAATTAATCTGGAAAACAACCGACAGGGCCATGTTGGTTCTTTTCCACAGCCTGCAATACTGTCTGGTCTTTTATTATTGTGATTTCTCCATCTACAATACACCAAAACCCTAAAAACTGAGAGAGAGGGTGATGGGACGTAAATCTGGAATCTTCCTGCAAATGATCTTAAACCTGTTGTTTGCTTTAAAGAATCCAACATACGATTACAATTAAACTCTAGTTAAAAGTAATCAGAAAGGCTATGAAACAACTGATCAGGGTTCTTAAGCAGTAACTCGATTGCAATTAATATTGAGAAAGAGAACACTTTTGGTTTGTGGGGGGTAGATTAAAGTGAAAATGAAGGTCCACCGCACAGTATTTTGGTCCCTGACAACGTGTGTGTCAGATTCTCTTCTATCTTCTTTATTTACCGTACCCAGTCCTACCCACGCCATCCCCATCTCTAAAAACCAGTTATAGTGCAGCTGGTGCAAAATCTCTTTAGACTCCTCATGTGGTTCTAACAGGTGTCCTTTATCATCTTCGCCGATTCTTTATTGGCAATGATAAACTAATAATTCTACTCCTACAAAGTTGGTGTACAAAAATGGAGTGTTGGCAAAACTGAACCCTTGATTTCAAATGATTTAAAAATCTATTTTTGAAATGATTAATGTAAATTTGATTTTGTAACTTAACTTTGTAAACTCCTTTTGTCATTGTAGCATAGCTCATGATAAATAGGCACTTGTGCATATTTCTTTGCATCATTGTCCTAGTAGGTTAAACCCACGAGTAAGAGTGTGTTTGGTATAAATTATGAGAATCAATTTTTTGACAAAAATGGATCCATCTATAAGTGAAAAGATAAAAAATGACGACTGACTCTGTCAAGTAACGATCATAGCTTGAAAAATCAGAACCAAACGGGACTAAATATACGAGTTATTTAAATTTACTTTTAATTATTACTTGCTCACAAAACCAAAAATAAAATAAAAAAATAAATAATAATAATAATAATAATAATAATAATAATAATAATAATAATAATAATAATAATAATATTGGTTTATCTATTACTTATTCCTCTATTTAAATAGTTAAATTTATAATTGGAGTGAAATCCATTAATTTCAATTACGAAAATTATCACATGTCCGATGAAAATCAGACGTATATCATTGACGACGTTGAATTGTCAAGCTTATTAAACTTATCATTAAATTACTAATTGATCATTGAATATAAAAATTAGTACTCATTGTTCACTCATCTAGCCAAATTGTTATATATACTTGAGTGAAATCTTGTGGCACCCCATAAATAGCGAAATTTTTGTAAACCTGGAATAAATACCTTAAACTATGGATACATATGTTAGAGCAGGGGCGGAGCCAGGATTTTAGTTCAGTGCGGGCAAAATTTTTTTGACGACGAATGTCGAGGTTTTGGTCGGGGATTTAATGATGATAAAAAAATAAAACAATAGTACATCAATACTAAAAACGACATAATTTATATATTACACTTGTTTTTTGCGAGTTTTCATACTTTGATATCATTGTATAATAACTTCATTATTGAACCTGAAAAATATATCTTTCTCCACATAAACAATTGTGCTATCATTCATTCACTGATCACCCAATTACTACTAGGAGTGGGTGTAATTCGAGATGTCAAATGAATCACAAATACTGGAAGCAACTCAAAAAACTAGTGCAATTCACAATTTCACAAAATCAATTCACAATCTCACAATGCAATATATACTATTTCCAAATACTTGGCAACTTGAACTTGCAATCACAGATTCCCAGAGAGCCAGAGCCCAGAGGCGACAATGAACTGGTGGTCCACTGGAAGTTTGTGCCGCTTCGAGCAATTAAAGAACAAAGTGCTAATTTAATATGTTAAAAACAAAAAAACAAAAAAATTTATTACAATTTACACAAATTGAAATAACCAAAAAAAAAAATAAGGGAAAAAAAATTTGGGGATTTGCCTTTTGCTTTCTGGAATCTGGCTTCTTCTTTTGTCGGCTCGACTGGTTGGCGTTGGCACTTGGTGCCTTGGCGGAGCTGAGGATGTAACGTCGGAGTCAGAGATGTGAGATGTCAAGATGAGAGCCTAGAGTAGGAGATATACAATAATGAATTGTCGGAGAGGGAAAGGGAACGACGGTTGTACTGTGACGACTGTCAAAGACGACAGTTGACGGAGAGGGAAGGGAACGGCGGGCTTTGTCACCAGTGGAGAGGGAAGTGGGTGGCGAAGTGTGAAATCGTCACAGACAAAGTCATGAAGGGTAGAAATTTTGAAATGAATGAATGGGTTTGGGTCAATAATTGATTCAATTGAATTTTGATATGAATGAGTCTAAAATGGGTCATGACCTTGCACAATTGGGCTTCTCTCTCTATGCTAGATCGAGAATTGAGTTATTTGGTTAAACAAACAAAGAAACCTTAATAAAAAAAAAAAAAAATTTTTTTTTTTTAAGGTTTCTTTGTTTGTTTAACCAAGTAACTCAATTCTCGATCCANNNNAAAAAAAAAAAAAAATTTTTTTTTTTTTTTTGCCCAAAAATCCAGTGCGGACATCTGCCTGCACTGGACGTATGGTGGATCCGCCCCTGTGTTAGAGTATAAGTGATCATACAATCTTGTATGGATATTAGGATATACACATACTAAATTATAGGTATTCACATCTAACATAGTGGGTATAGATACTCATACCATAATTGCTGAGGTCACATAATGCTAAGCAAAGCATAAATTGTTTTTGATCATTTTTCAGTTGGTCTCTTGGAATCTTTGAGAATGTGTCATTTTGCAACCCAAACAATAGAAAGCTAATTTATAATTCAACATTAGTAATAGTTTGTATAGATGAGTGAGCAATATATAAATTATTAAATTTTATTCAGAGAGCAATTAATAACTTAAAAATAAGTTTAATGTGCATTCATTTAATTAATTTAACAATTTCGTATCATTAAGATGTCAAGTCTGATTTTCATCATATATGCGGCAATTTCGTCATGTAGAGTCTTTCACTCTAAAAATGAATGTGTAACTATTTAAATAGATGAATGACTATGAAAAGCCTTTTATTTTAGTGAGTAAATAATGATATAGGGTAAAGTGTTCATTTAATTAACTCTTAATAGAGTTAGAGTTGGCAACCAGGCCACGCTCTTACCCTTCACCTGATCGAGAATTATCGAGAGTGAAAATTAAAATATTCTTTTTTTTTTCATTTACTTATTTTTTCACATTAATTTAAATTTTAACATATAAAAATATAATAAAATAAACATAAGGCCTGTTAAATTCATTGATTAGTCACTTTCGTTCAATTTTTTTTCTTTTTTTTTTCCCAAAAATCTTTCCTAATAGTAGACTTAACAAAAGTGTCATCTTAACGGCATTGTACTGATCTCAAGTTTTTATGATGTCAACAAGTTGTTTGCCATATCATCAAATTCTTTATTTTTTCAAACAGAAATAGACGAGTTGAATGATGGGATAACAGTTTTGTTAAGTAATTATTGAAAAAAGAAAAAATTAAAAAACTTTGTCACCAAATGAGAAATAATGCTGGAAGTACATTATAATTTAATTTTAGTTCATATGTTATAAGTTTGAATATGGGAAATAACATTTTAACTTTAATATTATGAAATGGTATAATATAGAAAGACTAAATTCAATAATTTAAATTTAGATTAACAATTTGGAAAAGATATTATGCATAAGTTTTTATAAATACATGCATTACAAAATTTAAGAAATTATAAGTTCTAATTCTATTATTCTAAAATATTATTATTACAGTAATAAAAATTTAAAAAAATATATGTTAAATTGATACTAAAAATAAGTTGTTATATTCCAAAGTTTTAATAAGTTTCATTGGGAAAATTGGTATTCTATTAGTATGTTAAATTGTGTGAAAACTGCTTTAAAAAAAAATGTTTAATTACTCTATTTAAATTACACAATAACGACAACGACATCAGTATTTTCTTTTCTGGAAATGATACACAGCTAGTTTATCAAAGTATTAATATTTGTAACTGTACTAAAGATATCCTATACATTAAAATTAATAATTTTAAAATTATTTTGATATATTGTTTATTAATTGCATAATAAATAAAAATTAGTGATAAAATAAGTAAGTTATACTTGTGAATACCAAATAATGAGTGGATAAAAAATAATTTGAGTGTTAATAAATATGAGACAAACATATACTCTTTCATCACATAAAAATAGTAAATCTCATCAGGATTTATTATTTGGCAGTTCAACTGCATTTATTAAAAGTCAATCACTAAGAAAGTTACTTAAATAAAACGATACATATGTGGAAAGTCCTTTTTTTCGCGGGAAAGTTGGCTAGAGATTTTATGAAAAAACACTAGATGTGTTCATTTCATAATGAGAATACTTTTGTCTTTTTTAATAATTAGAGGTTTTAGTATACTGTGATGTGTGATTTGATCCAAATTCTGATTATAATTTAACTGAGAGTCCATTTGATTGTAACAATAGAATTTAGGTGGAAATAAAACGAATTTCAGAGAATTGAATTACCTAAAACTTGTTTTACTGGAATTGTTAATTAAATGTGTTTGATTGGTATAATTTTTCACCTGAAAATTTTTGACATTTTGGATCTTTTGACATTTGTTTGACTTTATTTTTCACGAAAATTGTTAATTAAATCGATAGATATTTTTAATTAATTAATTAATTAATTATTATTTTTTTTCCAATTATGAATAGAATTTGTTTTCATTGCCAAAAAAACAAATAAAAAAAACCTAGAAAATCCAATTCTCACCAAAACCGAAGGAATCGGAATTCCTTAAAATCAAAGAAAATGGCATCATGTGAGGAAGAAGTGGAAAAATAATTCCATAGAAAATTTTGGTCATCAAACAACATAAATTGGGTGAAAAATGAAAAATTGAGGTATTAAATAGGCCCTAAATGTACTTTCAACTTTTCTTAAAAGTAATGTACTTTCAAAATTAAATAACTATTAATATCTAAAAAAAATTTATTTTTTTTATTTTTTTTATTTTTCCTTTTGAAGTGTCGCCGGCCGGTATGGGCATAATGAGGGCAGTCTTGACTGTGGGCTACAGCACTTTAAATTTTTTATGAAGTTTGAG